ATCTTTGTGAAAATGAAGGAACTTTTTGCCCACCCACCAGTGCACATCATAGGGCCCTACCTGGGGTGCACTATGAACATGTTCTGGCTCCACCACTGGTTGTTACCATGATGCTGTGGTATTTTTCTCCATGGCAACCCAGACCAGGTCCACTCTGACCAAAAAATGATCTCAGAAGAGTTTTCAGATTATAGCCGGGTTAAATCAGATGAGATAAGTTAGCACACATTTCCCCATCAGCCTTACCTGAGAGCTGACAAGCCTAAAAAACCTATGGCAGCTATGGTAATGGAGAAGGGGAGTTGAGGAGGGTGGGTTTGGGTGTCTGTGCGCCTCTCCTCTTCCTGGGTACCTGTCACTGATGAGGAGCCAAGGAGAAGCTTCAGCTTGGAGCTGTCATCAGCCTCTCTCCATCACCCCCCCTTCTATCTGTGCGTCCGTCTCTCTGCATGTGTGTGTTCAGAGTTGGTGTGCGTGAGTCATAAGCAGCCAGTGAGTGACTTCATTGTGTTTCTGCAGGTTTTTTTGGCTCTGGAGGTGTTTGAACTGGACCAGACGGACCCGGGATGCAGGCGCCGCCGAGACAGTCGCTCCCTCTCCCGGACTGACAGGCCAATCGCAAGCCACCGTTTGCCCTGCATCCATCCACACTCTCCTCTCTCTCTCTTCCTCCCTCCTCCTCCTCCTCCTCTCTCTCTTCAGTTTCATTCCTCAGCGCTCTGTTCGTGCATCCCCTCCTCCTCCTCCTCCTCCTCCTCCTCCTCCTCACACCTTTTGGTCAGAAGAGGAAGAGCAAGCCCAGCCCAGGGAGAGACGCTGAGAGGATGAAACTCTGACACGCCGGCAGACCACAGGGAAACAAGAGCACAACTGTGAGTACAGCAGTCCTTTCACCTCTCACTCAGGCTTAACGCTGTCACACACACTTTGTGTCGCACACACGGTGCGTGTGCGTATGTGTGTGCGTGCGCGTCTGGCGCTTTCACTTCAAACACTCCGCTGACTTTCCCTCCACGCGCTCACCATCCATCCTCTGCTCAAGTGTCTTTGTCTTTTTTTTATTTCCAGGCAGAAATAGAATCAAAGAAGTGATTCTTTCTTTTAGTCTCTTTATGCGCTCAGCCTAGTTTATTTATTTCTGTTTTTCCACCACAATAAAACTGCAAACAGTCCAGAAGAAAACTCTTAACCAATACTTTTTTTAAAGCCCTATTGGCACAAAAAGCTTGTGTTTAAAAAGTCAACCTTGGATCTTTATGATTGTGTTTATTTATCTTAAATAGAAGGTCAGGTGAAATGTGTTATCTGCCTGCTTTTGTCTGTTGTTTTTGGCCATAAAGGAATGTGGCATCACCACATGAGGGGAAGCGTGTCTGTTTTTATCTCCTCTTTTAAACCTACAAGCTGCTGTAACCAATAGATGTCTGAGGGGGTAAAGGGGGGGTTAAAAAAAAAGAGAAAAAGGAGGGGGGGCGTACTTTCTTCTCAATGGCAGAAGCCCTCCTGAGCCATCCCCGCTGCTCTGAGGGGAGGGAGGGTGAGGAGAGGGACCGCATCCCTGCTCTGCTCCGTTTGCATCAGACTGTTTTTCTGATTATGTTCCCAGTTCATCTCTGAAGAGCGGCTAGTAAAACACGACAGGCGCTCAGACGCACAGCAGATCCGAGCAGAGGACACAGATTACTTCTGCTCGGCACTTGTCATCAGCTCTGGCCGGTAATGCTGCCAATGCATTGATTTAAAGACCTCCCATTGCCCCCCCCATTACATGTGGAAAGCCCTGGATGTTGAGCAGCAACAACCTGATGAGCAAATGTAGGGAAAAGGATAAACACATATACATTAAACACCCTGCAGTATATTAGATTTGTTGCTAAGCTATAAAACTCCTGGAGTGAGAGATAAAGCATTTGCATTTTTATGATGTGGCTCAACAAGGATTGCCCCCCCCCCCCCCTCATCTATGTTTAAAACTCGATCATAAGCACTCCTCGGTTGGCTGTGCTGAAATGAGATGTGGTGTCATTTCTAATTCTAATGATTTTTCCAGCA